CATAGGAAGAAGGCTGCAAATTTCTCTTGGGGTTACCATTGTCCTACTGGTCCATTTTTAAAATTAAAGTGAATTTACTGTAATTTCTTATATAGCTTTCTGCTATGCTTTCTGCTGTTAAGACCCACATTTGTAAAGTGCCTCCACTGACACTTATGTAGGAAGTTTAAAGTTGTTGTTTTTCCTAAATATGGTTAACGAAAAAAGGAAGCAGACAGCTACTGTCAAATGGACTGTGAACTAAATACATCGCTCAGCTTTCACTAGGGAATTAAATTAATCTGATCACAACACAGAATATGGCTCTTGCATGCCACCTGGAAGCAGAGAAGTGGTCAGCCACTTTCAAACTTCCTCGCTTGACAGCTTGCTCAGTGCAGAAGCATCAAAACAACAGCACTGAGGCTACGAAGTATATATCCAAGGTTCAGTTTGCTTCGAGATGGGTCTGATCGAAGTCCTCAGACTTCAACACACTGCCAGGCAGTGTAAAGTATATGAAAGAGAGCAAAATTAACAGCAGGGATGGACTGAATTTAATCAAGGACCATTGAAAAAATATGAATCTAAACTTGGGTTTGGATAAGAATTTTATTCACGGCAGCATTTTTCTATGCAACCGACTGATCCAGGATCCCATATTTTTATACGTGGGACAAGAGTAATTTAAAATCTAGAGGAAAAATTTGAAGCTTGGACCATTTTTTTTTCTGTATTTTTTGTAGACCGTCAAAAGAGATATTTTATGCTCCAGTGAATTTCCCAATCTTCCTCTGAGTTCAGAAAAATGAGCAGATGCTGCCTTCTAATTTTGGACATCATAGTTCTCTCCATCAGATTTCAAACATTCTTCCTAAGATTTGAAAGAGCCTCTTGCCCTGTGTGGCACTTTTTTTTAAAAAGCAGGGATTGGGTCTATTTCCATGAGATTTTGTCCAAAGTTATTCTAGGAAGTGTTTAATTCTGAAGAGACCACTCATTGACCACGTCTACAGAAATCTGTGTCATCAATTCCTTTGTAAATCCAACTCTTCTGAGGCTTCTTCAACTGCACAGTCAAGAAATCTCTCTTAAGATTTTTCTCTGGAGTTAAAAAACATAGTGGAGTTGTACAACCTCAAAGCAAATGCCAGTTAGCTGTTTTATTATCAGATTGTTTTATACTCAAAGCTAAAAGAACAAACTAACAAAACTAAATATGTAACTTGGTATAAGGGGGTTCAATGACTCTAAGAGCAGCACAAATGGATGTATTAAAATAAATGACTAATAAAATGATTCCTCTTACCAATATCTTTGCTTTGGATTTGCATAAGAGGTGGTAATTTTTTTCCAGATGCTGAAAACTTCTGCAAAACTTTACAGCGAGCATGAAAAATTTCATCTTTCTTGACCTGTGCTCTAATTACTAAATTATATTCCCATAGGTTCACCAGCCGTTTCACCTATCCATTTTGTTAATATTATCCTTTTGACAAAAAACACACTTTGGATGTTGTACATAGGAAAACTAAGAGACTTACTAGAATCCTAACCTAGGCCTCAAGTGTCCATCCATTACAGAATCAATAAAAAGGGTTAAAGATTTTTCCAATTATGGAGGGAGCGCTCCAATACTTTTTAAATATTATGCATTTAAGATATACAGGTCATGATTGTTGGAGTATATATGTTTTAAATGCTGAGCTCAGAGTTTTAAAATGACATTTAAGTATGTTTATCCATGTCCCATCAGATCTGGTGGAAGTGAGATAAAAGCCTTACTACAGGATTTACTTGTCACTTAGTCTATGAATTCTCATTCTGCCACAGCACCAAGCACACTTTAAAAAACAGAATCATTTTCTTAGGAATACTAAAATCAGGAAGATTAAATTCCTACATCAAAGATACAATTTTATGGTCCAACCAAGTTATAACATATCTGTGTGCTATTTAAACCATACAAATATTACTAAATGAATTACACAGAACTTAGAGGGACCTTATATTTACTCCAAATCTTGTTCTACTTGCGATAAGAGAGTATCTTTTCAAATAACACAAGGAAGAATAGGATCTCTATTCTTACTCTATAGAGTAACCAAAGGTAGTATCACACATTCAGATATGAAAAGACAACATTCTAAAAATGCGGTTTTCTTGATTAGGATATTAGCAATCCTCAAAAAAAGTCAGGAATGCAAAAATTCATTAATACTGTTTCCCATATTTAGAAGAACGGAACTATTCTGTCAGCAGAAGACCCTAATGTGCTCACAGGGGGTTACTCCAGGCTGACATTTATAGCCTCAAAGTGTTCTTTTTGAGGTAGGCCAGAACAGTCAAGGATGCTTGGGATTTTGTACTCAAGCTATATTCTTTTCAATTTCACTGTTGTGCTGGTTTTGGCTGGGATAGAGTTAATTTTCTTCACAGTACCTAGTATGGGGCTATGTTTTGGATTTGTGCTGAAAATACAGGGATGTTTTCATTATTGTTGAGCAGTGCTTACACAGAGTCCAGGCCTTTTCTGCTTCTCACACCACCCTGCCAACAAGTAGGCTGGGGGTGCACAAAAAGCTGGGAGGGGACACAGCTGGGACAGTTGACCCCAACTGACCAAAGGGATATTCCATACCATATGACATCATGCTCAGCATATGAAGATGGGGGAAGAAGAAATAAGGGGGGACGTTTGGAGTTATGGTGGTTGTCTTCCCAAGTAACCCTTACACATGACGAAGCCCTGCTTTCCTGGGGATGGCTGAACACCTGCCTGCCAATGGGAAGTAGTGAATGAATTCCTTGTTTTGCTTTGCTTGTGTGCGCGGCTTTTGTTTTACCTATTAAACTGTCTTTATCTCAACCCATGAGTTTTCTCACTTTTACCCTTCCAGTTCTCTCCCCCATCCCACCATGGGGGGAGTGAGCAAGTGGCTGTGTTATGCTTAGTTGCTAGCTGGGGTTAAACCACAACAGTCCTTTTAGAAAATCAATTCTATCCCAGCCAAAACCAGCACAACTGTGTGTAAATTTATCTAATGAAGAAAAATTAAACATTATTTAGGAAATCAGATTCTTATGAGATGTTTTCAAGAATAACGTAGAAACTCCTGGTGAAGATATCCTCACAATCCCAACTAGAGAGCTAGTACAAATTCATGCACAAGTGAAAATCACCTTATATAAATATGGTACCCTGTGAAATCAGTGGAATCCAATTAGTTATAGGTGTGTCTTCTGTTTCCAATGTTATGACAGTCAAAAATCTATCAGACAGTGATGTCTTTGAAGGAATTTTTTTTAAAGAGCTCCTATATATTTACACACACAACTGAATGGGCTTGGTTATTTGTGTGTACAAACAGCTATCGCCATATCTAATTAAGCAGGACTGTAAATTCTGACATTAACGCTCACTGTATAAAGATTTAGTGTGTGGATCAACCCCATTATCAGGCCAAATTCAGAAAGGTTATCTGAAAATGGTCAGATTTTACTTGACTAATCACAAATATATCCCCACAGTAAATATCTGAACTCATACATAAATGTGAAAATTTTTGGAGCCTATTAGCAGATAATCCTATTAAGCTATCACAGTTGCTTTTTTTAAAAAAAAAAAAAAAATAAAGCGAAATGACTATTTTTCAAATGCAAAATTAATAAACTAAGAATGTGATATTTTATGAAGTATTTTGTACTCTTCTGATGCTAAAATGCCTTGTGCTTTAAGTGGAATTTTTGCAGGACATTAGTTTATAATACAAACCAGCACCTTTGGGTATTTTTAAAGGAAGATGAAAGTGGGAGGAAAATAAGCTGAGCTGTTTTGTTTACACCAGCATAGGAAACTGCATTTCTAAGCATTTGATTCAGCTAAAGCTGTACCTTTCATAGAATTTTAGTAGCAGATGCTGTAGTGACAATGAAAGTGACTGAAATACATGCTGAGGCTTTTTGCAAGTAGCATCATGATATGCAGCATGCTTCTAAGATAGGAGCTATACCCAGTGTATCACTCATACATAAAGAAGACCAGAACCTAATTTTCAATCCTCTTATCTCATCCCCCAGTGTCTCCTTTCTTTTCTATATTTTATTGGGAGGAGACAGAAGGTTGCCACAAGATTATTTCTATGGCAGCTTTGACTCCCCCACTGGTTTTCTGCTCAGTGCCTGTGACTGACACTTAGTTCTGCCTGAAGGACAAGGACAGGACAGACTTCTGAGTGCCAATCAACAGAGCATGCCACATGCTGTAATTGAAAAATACAGTGCTTCTGCAATAAGATGAGGACATCATTTTTAGTGCAAAGCTGTGGTAAAGAGAATTGTAAATGAGCAATATGTAGCTCACATTTATTTTTATGGCACCTGACTTAACATGGCCAAAAGAAATGAACCTGAGCTACAGAATTTGGATCCAGATCCGAACTGCCTGTAATTCAGCAATGTTCAGATCAAGGTTAAGCCCCACCTTTTATTTCACCTGCAGAGCATGAGATATTTTCAGCCTAATCATCCTAATCTGATGTCCTGATGTGCCTTCATCCAAGTTATCTGTTAGCCTCATGCACACGATAGCATAGCACAGCAAGCCAGTGTCTATAAATCTGTCAAATTATCCAAACTGCACACCCCTAATCTTAGGCCATCTCATACTATTAAGTACTTTCCTCAGGCTCTTCTTCTTTTATGGAAACTTCTCTAGCAAAACAATGCAGGACATACTTAGGAAAAGCCTATCCTTCCAAATAATGCATGCTCGCCCACCTCCCTGAAGTGAACAAAACATGGTTAAACACCTGTAGAGACCTACCTTAGCAGTCTGTGAACCAAGCTAAGGAAAATTGTCCTTAGGGATCTCACTGCTGACAGGAGAAACAAAAGCATCACAAGAATTTGCCTAAGGTCACAAAGCAAGTAAGTAGCAGAACGACACTAAATACTACTGCTTCTCTTTTTACCTTCCCTTCTGGCTGCAATTCCTAGTGGGAGATTTGGGAAATACATACCTTTCAAAAGATAAGTGAATGTATTTAGAAACTCTTCATATGACTGCTCATGGCTATTAATAAATTGATCAAGAATGCTGTTGTTTAACAGTTGTTCTCCCATGATCCACACCTTCACAGTTGAACAGTTATATCTGCTTTAGTAGGCTCCTTCTGCAATAGAAAGGAAAAAGCCTTATGTATCTGTAGGCAGAAAACAAATTAACTGAAGAGTCCCTAATTCACACAGATGAACAACAGAGTGTCAAATTTTTCTTCTCTCCTTGTGAAGTTCTGATCTTGTCAGTGGGACTTTACACAACATCTCCCTTAAAATTCATGTGGGCATAGTAATTTGAAGTGCAAAGGGAAAGACTGTGATAATCTATGTCTGAAATTTATGTTATCAGGTAATATGGGCCACAGAAGTGCCAACCTCTCTCAGTGGTGTTCCTTCCACCTCATTTTAAGTTGTTCAGTCTTACAACCCCTGCCTTCTTTGCAGAAACGGTGACACCACTGACTAGCATGTTGGATTTAACAACTGTGACATCTGTACATTCAAAACTTGGACTGAATCCATCATTCTGCAGGTGCATTGTACCATCAAAGCCACTAAACCCAGTTTTTGGAGGGCATGTTAAATCATGATGAGGTGTGCGTATGCTGAGATGGCACACAGCACAGGGAGGGCATGATGGAACTGGGCAGCCACATAGGAAGGCAAGGACCACTCTCAACAAGAGAAAAAATACCGAGAGCTGAAGGAACCCCACAGAGGCTTTTCTGGACTTGAAAGCTCCACTTCAGTCACACGGCAACAGTTTTCCAGCCCATCTGCATCACTTTACCAGACTCTAAGCAAAGTAATGGCCCTGAAACAGCTCTCGGTGAAGTATGCTGAGGTTAACCTTGCCCCTCACTTATAAAAGCTGTGTAAATCCATTTTAACAGCTGTGTGATGTTAAATAGTTAATAATATTACTAATTTTTTATACACATAGGACCAGACTACTAGAAGCAGAAAAACACAGGTGAGGATGTGGACATACATAACTGGCACATTGTCTCACACTGTGGCAACTTAACTAAAAAATGTAAATGACCAGTTTGCATACATAAATGTGATAAAGATATAAGGATGCATTATACACTAAGTGCTTGATTTTCATGTGTTCCCGTGTTTCTTCTCTTGACTTGCCACAGTATTAAGAAGTGTCTTCCGGGAATGAAAGGTTAATTCTTCAGCAAAACTTCAAATCAACTACACTGCCAACCTGATTTTAAAGTTAAATAAGATCGAACAAGAATTGTTCAGAGCCCAGCAGGAAAACAAAGCATGATTTCTAACATCAAACTCTAATTTTGTTGGATTGCCAGCTTGTAAAGAAGACTAATGTCCTGAAGATACGAGAACACACGCGCACACACACATGACCTAAAGTTTAAGTTTTCTAATGTTTTATAAACAACAACCCAGTATTAATCTCTTTGTGGACTGACCAAGCAGAATATAATTTACCAGACTCCCAGAGTGGTTTATGCAAATTATGGTGGTTTCAGAGGGAAGCAATGCCTTCTATTCCTCATTATTGTTCAGTTATTACAGTCATTATTTGAGGTAAATTTCATTATGTGAAAGACTGCAGTAATTTGTAAGGCTAGTGACAAAGAAAAAAAATACATATATTTAATCAAGAAAATGGTAATAACAACCTTTGGTTTTTCTTTGGCATCTGACGTCTAGGATCTCCAAGTCCTTTATAAGCACTAATGAAATAAACTTCACGATAGCCGCATGATGAAGAGCAAACAAATATTATTTCAAGTAACTGATGAAAAAACTGAGTCACCAAGAGTTTAAATGACTTATAAGCAAATCAGAAGAGGGCTGGCAATAAAACTTAGATTCGTTTACTCTAGAATGCTCTAGGAAGCTAGAAAATTGATAAGCAATTTTGGGGAACAATTGTATCCTTAACCAAGCTGAATAGCAGCTTTCTCAGTGAATGCCATGTTCTACAGCCACCAGGTCATCAGCCTGAGATTAAGCATCCAGACCAGGTGTTAGCAAAATGCTATAGCTCAATTCTTACTCTGCTGCGCAGCCTCTACTTCCTACAGAGCTTGGGAAACTTCACTTCAGATTTTAACATCCTCTACTAGTTAAGCTGTAGAGGAGCAATAGTGCAACAAGACTATGGATAAGCACCGGGTTTTGACTCATTACAGTTAGCTAGGAAACGCAGTGCTGAATTCAACTTGACAAAGTTTTAGCCAAACTACAATTGCAAAATCCTGAACATCAGCCTCATGAAAAAGCAAGCACTGGATGCTGTTAGAATATAATCTAACATTTAATACCTGAAATCTCCTGACATATGGAGATTAGGAAGTTATCCCTAAAGGTTTTAAACATATATTTCACTGAGCCTATACATTTTCATCTAGTATGCACTTCAATACCTATGCACTGGGAGAAGCATCATCAAAACGGTATTACTTTAAAAAAACATAGCAGAGGATATTCCAAGCATGGGAAAAGATTATTTTCTCAAGACTAACAGCTTTTTTTACCGGAAAATTAACCAAATTTTTACCCAAGTCAAAGCAGTAAATCCAGAGTAGCTCTCCTATAGCCAATATAGTTATTACAGGTATTAGTATAAGAGATCTGCTATCAACTATGTCAAAGATATTCATCTTGGCTTAAGAAAATAAAATAACTTGTAATTCATAGGCCACATTTCCTTATTTTTTCTTCTGAAATAAAACCCAAAGAATGTATTTTGGAACGTGAGTTCACTAAATTATTCATATTTCAATAAATCCTAAAGTGGAAAAGAGGGGAGAAAACCCTATTTCTCATTTTGGCATCCATCCTCCATTGCTTTTTATAGTAACTTCACAGTTTTGCTTCAAAAATCTAAAGCAATAAAATGCAAAATGGATGACAGAGGTGATAGTCCAACACAGACCTAATCTTCCCTTGCACAGCTGTTTTTTACACCTCCAAGAATCATCTCCTCATGGAGAGGAAAAACCAGCTAGGTCCTAATAAAAGCCTAGGTTCTGTGAGAAGAACAGCCATTCACTCAAACAATAGAGAGGAGAGACTGGCAGCTAGAACTACCTGTCCCCCTTTTTCAATTATTTTGAAGAACTCCAGGGTGCTATTGCATCACCCTAAATGAAAGCAGGCACAGAGGATGGTATGTGGAGAATATCTACTATCCCTGAAACTGAACATATGGTTAGGATGGACAGTACAACAGAGGTGTTCAGAAACACATCTCAACCTATCAAGGTTTTTATATTTTTCATTTTCATTCCACTTTGGTTTTCTGATGCTTTCCACCTACTTTATTCCTGAGTTGCTCTTAAATGAACACCATACTGCATCAGCCACAGAGAAGTTTTGTGATGTGAACAGCTGAAACCAGGCTGACCAGAAGACTCGCCTTTGCTAAGAAGCTAACTGGTAGATTCTATGGAAGTAAAAGGTTTCAGCAATCATCCAATTCACAGCCTCAAGTCAATGACTTCTTTGAACTGTCATGAAAAAAGAAAAAAATGTACAATAATGGATTGGAATCACCCACAATTTATGAACTGGATACAATCACACCTCTACAAACGAAATGACTGCATTGTGCTGTCTGCTGAAATAAAAACTTATCTTCTTTTTCCCAAAAGGCATCAAACTAACTCGGAGGTTTCAGGAAAAGTAAGGCAAGGATATCTGATCCTTTCCCCATGCTGGCTCTGGATAGTTTTAGAGTGAAATATCAGTAAGTGATGCACTCAAGCAGCAACTATACTTTCTTCTTTTTTCATTTCACTCCTGCTCATCCATCCTAATTACTGTAATGAGGTTTCTTGAGGCGATCATTCATTAAGCCTTGCTGATCATCAGCAGATTGTGCAAAATCAATTTTAGTTCTCAAAATGCAGTCTTCTTCCCAGCAGTTTAAGTCAAACCAGAAATCTCTGCATTGAATCACAGAGGCAGGACAAGTGAGTATTAGCATGATTTCAATTACACAGTTATTAGTTCTATTAAACAATAAAAAATGTGGTGGAATATAGGCTTCCTGTTTTATGCTGCATTTTAGAGTGTTTTATTATGTTTCTTTTAAATGTAATATAGGCAATGAAATAAAATCAAGATTCTGAATTTTTAAATGGAAAGAGCAATAAGCTAATCCTCTCTACAAACTCACTAAAACCTTACATAATTTTATTTTTCTGGGAAAAAAACCTACTTCCCTAGTGTTTCTGGCATAGGTTAAAGTCAGATTTCCACATTATGAATTTGCTCTCCCAGAAGTCATTCTCAATAAAAACAGGGATACTCAGAAATGTTTATTTATAGATCACTCATAGGGTCATGGAAAACATCACTAGATACACCTGTTCTCAAGATTTTATAACCTATGTTTGCACAAATCAGATTGAACACAAATACATTACTTTTACATCTTATACTCTGTTACCACTGGACAATGCCTGATCTTTTTTCCCTATAGAGCTAGCACAGTAACTACACCTGCCAACTAACTTTTTTCAAAGGGGTCTTTAATACTTCAAATCTAACTAACCTCTCATAACAGCAATCGTACTCTCTTACAACCCACAATACAGAACTAAGTGACAAGTAGTTCTACAACACCTCTCATCCATAAAGGTTTTACATGTCAGTCTGCACTAAAGACCTTGATTCTTGGGACTCTCTTTGGCCTGGCTAGTTCAGCAACATAAAAGCCGTCACTTGTGACAGAGCAGGCTGGTAAAGGCAATGCAGAAATGATCTCTGCAGGTTGACCGCTCATATAGTTAGGCAATACTGTAGGCATATTGGCAAGTCTTAAGTGTGCAGTAAGTTGTCAAGGGACCAAGTACAGAACCAGAGGTGGTTACTGCCTCCTAAGGATGATGAGAAAGCACACTATGATTCATGACGTTAGTCTCCTCTCCAACCTGTTCCCGGAGCTACGTAACAGCATGCTGTCTGTTAACAAAAAAACATAACATCCCAATCTGCCCTCTAGACAGCAGCACCATAGAAGTCACTCCATGTAATATATGTACCCATATATTTGTGTAAAGCTTGCTTGAGGAAGT